ATCCTAATTCTTAATATAATGCCAAAATGTTCTATCATGGTTTCATAGAAATGGCTCCATGTTTTCTACTTTTCAATCTGCAATCAAAATACGAGAATTTGAAAGTGATTTCTGGTGGATGATATAAAAAGCCACTCGTTCATTTCGTCGAATGCAAAAGCTGCCATTTTCAGCTTTTTGGGGATCGACCACTTCTACCTTTCTAGAGAGTTTTTAAACCATCTTAAGACAGAGATAACGTGAACGTAGGAAAGATCATGACCTCGTCGGTCATAGTGGCGCCTTCTGTCATTGAATTTAACATGGACTATAAAGTCTCTTCATCAGTTACAGCGATAAGAAGTTTCCAAAAAGTAAACTGCAAACTCTTCCTGAAAGATTTCTGGCAAGCGATCTTACAGTGCAGCGGCTTTGACAGACAGTCCACCGTAACCGTCGCAATTCTACCGTTGCATTCAAGTTGAGTCATATGTACACAATATTTCAGCACTTTATGAATCAACCATATTTTTGATAGAACATGGTCTCCTTTTTCAAAAGGCAGGTTTACATCAATTTACTACGCAGTATTTACGGCTCAATGATGTGCTGCTATTCGATGCATTCCAATTTTTAGGTAATTTTGTGCACGTTCGACTGCTACGTTTCCCAGCTATACAGTCCAAAAGATAGGCAAATAAGGAAGCGAGCTACGTCCTCTAACTTTTGCAACTATTATTATGAAAGTGCTGACAAAGTCTCGAGCACATCCTTTAGAAAGTTTGCTCCTCAATATTTCACGATTTAACCCCCTTTAGAAATCAAAAGTTAGTGTAAGGCATTATGGATGTGTTAACAAAACCTTGTTACAAAATCACCATGAGGTAAAGCGTTGCGACGGTTGGAGTTGAAGCAAATGTTTTTGAAAAGGATATTTGGATCTGGGTGGGTTGAAACATCACATCTCATCTTCGTATTTATGCAAACAGAATCGTTTGATCCTACATACAATCTTTGCTCCAAAAAAAGCATTCGAATTGTGTTTTTGAACAGATAAGCAGTTTTTGTACGTGACTCGCGTTTTTTATAGGATTCGTAGGCAAATTTTTTCTGTTGCCTATGAATTTTTCTGTTTTTCTACTCGTTGAATAGCACAAAGGACGCCACTATCTTGCAAACTTATCATCAATTTAAAAAAGAACTCTCAGTGCTCAACATTACGGAAACTAGCATACAGGCATTACAACATCCAAGAAAAGCTTCAAATTGTGACGCTTCTTAAATTGCCCACAAGCATAACAATTTTTGATGATGTTATGATTTTGACGACCTTCGATGATGTTAGAAGAGCAACATAAGGAAAGGATCAACAGGAATAAAAACAGATGGAATTGATAAGATTCTATTTATGGCTAGGAATTAAAAAAAACAGAAAAATTGATTTCAATGAAAGAGGTTGTATATCATCGCCATAAAAAAACTTCCAACTGCTATCGTATAACCACTCTAATTTTGAACTGGAGGCTTATTGTGCGATGTGGTATCATTTTTTAGATAAGCATACTATATA